AGGAGTTGGGTCCTTGAATTTCAACTGATTTGGTTGACCTAGGTAAAGGTAAAGGTTCCCCTTGACATTTATTCCAGTCTTGTCCAACTCTAGGTCGCGGTGCGCATCCCCATTTCCAAGCCATAGAGCCAGCATTTGTCTGAGGAAGTTTCTGTGGTCATGTGGCCAGAACAACTAGACACGGAATGCCGTTACCTTCCCACTGTGGTGGTACCTATTTATCTACTTGCATTTTTACATGCTTTCGAACTGCTGGGTTGGCAGGAATGACCTAATTTAGTGTTATTTGCTACGCTAAGCAACAGGATTTTGCCACTGAATCAGTTATTGAATGGTGCTTATGTAAATGTCTTTGAATCAGTAAATCTTCTTTGCTTGCAACTACCAACTGGATACAGGACCTGGGCCGTAGTCCAGTGTATGCTTACATGAAATTAAGGTCCACTGAAGAATATGCCATTCATTTCTTATTAAATACACAAAGTATCAGGCACAGTATAGTTTTATCAATAAGTGTTGTGTTAATCAGACTAACCAGTCAGCTTAGTCTTTTAGCCACCCAGAAGCCTCTGGTAATGGTGCGGCTAAAAAAAAAATACTGTAAATAAATTGTAGTGACCTTTGGTTTCAGAGATGGTTTGTTTTCTGGGGGAAAAAAACCCTACCCAGTTGTTTTCTACTCCAAGCAATCAGTCTTTAATGTCACTCTCAAGAAAAGTTAGCCTGGGTGTTTCCTCAAGCTCTAGGATTATGCAGTCATTGTCCTGCCAGATATTTCAAACAATACATTCTTTTCCCATTTCCTGCTCTGCTGTGGTTTCCTGCTCTAGGCCCTGGAGTCTGACTCAGCAGAAAGCAGGAAATGGAAGTTTTGGCCCCGGGCTTGCAAATCTTTAGGATCATCATTGTTTTTCTTGTTCCTGCTGGAGTTCCACAAGAACATCCAACTTTCATTCATTTGGAAAGTGGATTCGGTTTTTCACATTTGAATCTGCATCATAAGGCATACCTTTTGGCATACATAAATAATTGTCAAACCCACTCTGATTCAGTCATCTCTTCACGTGCAGTTATAAAATCAGTCCAGTTGACTCTATTTTTTTCAGGACCACTTTAAGGTTTCTCCACTTAATAATAAAAGAAACTTCCCTTCCTACAGTTTCAGTGGCCAGCCTTACCACGTGTATGATTTCTTGTCAACTACCCTTTGATCTGTATGCACAGGCTAAATTAATTCTTTGGGTTAATCCTGGTGAAAAAATTGCAAGATGACCTTTCTTATGGAAGAAAGGCTATCTTGCATATGGGATATATAGATTAGACCAGCTGATAGACCCAGACTAGGAATGTTTGTGTTTTCTGCATTGGAATCCACATCTAACTGCTGCAGTGGTACGGCAATATTGAAAATTATAATCTCTTTTGGTATCCATATGGGTCTTCAAGCTTGAGTGCCTCAGCAACCCCTGCTACTTTAGAAACATTCATTGCATCTTCAGCAAAATTAAATACAATTAATCAATTAGAAAAAAAATTGAAGCGAGGAGGCCAGGACTGGAATTAGATATACTGTACAGTATTCAGGTCCTCAGTTGTGTCAGATTCAAGAACCCCTCTCCCCACCAGGATGCAAAACATGTGTATTATTCCAACAGATGGGTTTGGCAGAGATATTCGGAGGCCCTCTCATCATCTGAGGCCCAAAACTGTCACTTACTTGGCTTGTATATCAATCTGTCACTGCACCCTTCCACTTTTTAAAATATGGCAATTTCCTCACAACTATATCAAAACTGAATTACCATCATTTGCGAAAATCCAGAGATTGGAACGGATTACAAAATTAGACATGGTAAAGTGGCAAAATTAGTGCACTGCTTACTTGTGGTGTTTCCGGATCCAAAATGATTGAAACCTTGAACATAACCGACCAGACATAGTAGTAAGAGAACAAAGAAATGTCTGATCAATGACATTGCAATTCCAGGGGATGCCAGAGTTGAATTGGAAAGACTAACAAAGTACAAGAGACCTGGCAATTAAAACATCTTGCTTTTGGATGCAACATACTTCAGTGGTCCCTGCAGGCATCGGAACTTTGGAAACAATATCAAGAAATTTCACAGCATCTTCCTTGTGGATGAAACATACAGTACTTCAGTGGTCCCTGTAGTCATCGGAGCTTTGGGAACAGTATCAACAAATTTCACACAGTATTGCTGCAGGTCTCAGAATAAAACCATCAGAGATACAAAAAAAAAATCAAAAACACCAATAACACACCCGGCAATATGAGGAACAGCATGTACACATAGTGCACCAATATTTAACAGATATATAGGTTTTTGGTTAAAATTTGTATCTGTTATATAATACCACTCAATGTGTTTATAATTTTGATTGACTGTGTCTGGTATTTTTGAATAATAATAATAATAATAGCCTATCTTTTCTCTGGTAAGCTTTGCACTTCTTCCTGGAATTTAAGAAGCACAAAGTAATCTGGACTAAATTAAGCAATTAATGGTGTGTTTCAAAATATGTTTTAAATACAGCATTAAAATGCATTTTATTGAAGAGACATTACACTGTCAAGGCCAATAATGTGCACTATATCTTTTAATTTTTTTATCCTTTTATTATTGTACAGTACAATAATCTGAATCAAGTTTCAAGGAGTAAGTGAAATGAAATATAAGCATCCATAAAGCTATTTCCTATGATTAAGCAGTAACACATCAAGTATATATTGTTAGCAGCAAGTGATGACTGGTTTGTTAATTAATGACCCAAAGCAAAAGCAAGGCTGATGAATGCCCTAACAAGCAGGCTGTTAACTGCTGTGAAGGTGAATTCTGGGATGATAATTGCTACATTAAACTGTACTCAGTGGTTTATTACACTATTTTTATTCAGCCTTCTGAAAAATTAGTCTGGACAAGCTAAAAACTGCCCCCCCCCCCCGCAGCCAAAGGATATACAACATTTCTTCTGGGTTATGCAGCAATCCATATGAAATTGGTTCTTGTCAGTAATTAATGACAAGTATGGTAATTAACTACTATAAGGTAGACAAGAGGTAGTTAGCTGTTGGAGAACAAATTTGAAAGTCTTATCCCTGCTTGGCAATGGCATAAATGGAGCAAATGGAGCAAACAATGGGTTGCGTTTAGTTCTCAAGGGGCAATTTGTTTCCTAGCTTTTAGTTTTAATTGATGATTCCATCCTCTACTTTGTGTCACAAAGTTAACTGTTTTTTAAAAATCAGAAGTATAAAACATTTTGAACTAAATCCAAATGTTTGAATAAATGGGTCTTGGAAAATCAGCACTTAGGTGAGGCTCATTGCTCAAATAGCTCTCCTCTAGCTGGGATTAACATTTTATTTAACCTTTCAGTTTCATTGACTTAACTAACAAGGGCACATAATTAGGAGTCATAGGCTGTCATATAGATTGTCTTCCAATCTATGTAGTGTTTATGCTGTAGGAAATTCTTAATGTCTAACTTGTATCTTGAACAGTTCATTGGAAGGAATAATACAGCAGTTCGTTGTTACTGTTGTTGCTAGTAAAGTGTATATCACCATTATAGGCAGGATTTCTCTGTGCCTGCAGAAGTCATTGTGACCTGTCGTGATTTGTGGGACAAAGTGAAGCACTACAATTGGAAACAAAGTTGAAGTGACCTCTGATTCTAGCATTCTCGATACATAGTTTGATCCATACAGTTGTATTTACAGTAGATCTATTGAATTAATTGGAATTTAAGTTAATCAAGTTGGAGTAATCATGAGGGACTTAAATCTAATGTAACATCTTGAATTGTATGATTGTCGTCGTTTAGTCGTGTCCGACTCTTCGTGACCCCATGGACCAGAGCACGCCAGGCCCTCCTACCTTGCCACTGCCTCTCGGAGTTGTGTCAGATTCATGTTGGTTGCTTCGATGACATTGTCCAACCATGAATTGTATGATAATAGCAGCCTAATCTGTGTCTCTGCACATTTCAAGATATCCCTTGCTTGCTGAAGCTATCAGTGACATTTTTCAGTGAATGCCATGCAATCCAGATACGATAGAGATAGAACTGGAAAAATCTGTTCTAAATGGAAGTTATCAGTATGTCTAATTTTGGATGGAGTTGTATCCTACCTGGAAAGTCAAGTATACAATCTGAGTTGATGTTGCATATGGAAGAATAAAAGGAAGAACAGCTAGAAGTGCGTTTTGTAAGCACACATTAGTTAACCACTGTAATCCTTGGTGGAGAAAACAGTACATGCTTCAGTTACACATGCTGTGTATGTGTCCATACAAGGCTATTCCATATCATTCTTTCATGCCATTCCATAGAGACAGAAGAGCTGAAGTCACAATTCCATGTACGTAGATATATCTATTTTTGTGACATTCATATGCTGCTTCTCCTTCGGTGAACTGAAGATGGTGTACGTGGCTTTCCCTCTAATAACAATCCTATGAGGTGAGTCAGATTGAGGTAGCATGACTGGTTGATGGTCAACCAATGAACTTCATGGCCAAGCAGTGATTTGAACCCATCTCACGAGTCCTAATTGAGCACTGTAGCCACTGAGGCATTTATCTTAACACTAATAATAATCTGTATCGTGTTTAATCTTGACAAAGCTGTAAAGCATTGATCTGACAACCTTTGATTCAGTAGGAACAACCTCATGGTGGGGGTCATGAAAACATTATTTATTTGTTTATTCATTTGATCTATATACTGCCCATTTGGCCAAAGGTGACTCTGGGTGGTTCACAACATAAAATAATAGGCAAGCAAAAATCATGAAACAGCTATAAAAACAACTATAGAAATGATCAAACAGTTAAAATACATTCTACAATACACTTTTGATACCAACTAAAATATATAACATAGAGAATGGCAGCAAGTGTTTTTACAAAATGTTGTTCAGTGTTCCTGTTCTAGGGGAGAAAATGGTTTAACCTTGTTGTCACTGTTCTTTACAGGTTTATGACTGATGCAGCTCGACGAGAACAGGAATCCCTGAAGAAAAAGATCCAGCCTAAACTCTCCCTAACTTTATCAAGTTCAGTGTCCCGTGGGAATGTATCTACTCCTCCACGCCACAGCAGTGGAAGCCTTACTCCACCAGTCACGCCACCAATTACACCTTCATCCTCATTTCGTAGTAGCACGCCTACTGGTAAGATGAGATGCTTTCACATTTCACAACATTTAGCCATTGCACAGGTTTACAGTGGAAGCACAGTATAGAGGCACCGTAAACTATTGTAAAGAGCAGAAATGGAAAATGTTTGTACAGTGGACCCTCTACTTATGGAATTAATCTGTATTGGAATGGTGTCTCCAAGTCGCAAAGTCTGTAGGTCGAATCTCCATTGACCTACAATGCATTGAAAACTGATTAATCCCATAACCGGCAGTTTTTATTCTATTTTTGTTCCATTTTGGGTTTTTTCTGGTCTGTAAGTCAATTCTCCGGCTGCAAGTCGAATCTAAATTTTGCAGCCAGAGAAGTCTGTAACTCGAAAAGTCTGTAAGTCGAGCCTTCTGTAAGTCGAGGGTCCACTGTAATTTTGGACAAAAACCTCCAGACAAGCCCAGCCATCATAACCACTGTCCATGCTAGCAAATACATTATGGGAGGAATCTAGTAAAGAGACTCTCTAGTACAAAGAGCAGATAATTTCCTATCCAGGTTCCCATTCATTAGTCAAAACAGGTTTCTGACAGGTGTGCCCAGTTTTCCCACCCATTGTTTGCCATTCATTGGGTAGGCAGTGAAATGGAGCGAAAAAGGCATTTGCTGGATCTGGAAGAGTGGAAGATTTGTTAGACACAAGTAGAAATGAAGAAGGGCTGTGGGACTGGAAGGTCTTGTATGGGTGAAAAGTGGTTGGATGTGTGCTCAGGTGTGAAAAGAAGAAAGAAAACTTTCAGTATCATTATTTATTTGTTTTATTTTATTTTATTTAAAATATGTTTATCCCACCTGTCTTCTTTAAAAAAAAATACTCAAGGTGGCTTGCATAATTAAAAGACAGTGTTTAAAAACAGTAAGTGCAAACATATTTAAAAAAGAATTAAACAGATATTTTATGTCAAATGGTAAATAAAATCAATACTAAAAACACATCTAAAAGCAACAAGGCAGAACAATCCATTTAAAAACCTCTCTCAGACAGCCAGTCCCTAAGGGAAAGCCTTCCTAAAGACAGCAAAGATGAGGCCAATGTGGTCTCTCATGGGAGGGAGTCCCCGAGTCTGGAAGCAGCAAAAGAAAAGGTCCGCCCCTGTTTCCCCACCAAGCACATGTGTAAGGATGTAGGGCTGAGAAGAAGGACCTTAACACCCAGGCAGACCTAAAGAACTTTCAGATGAAGATTTTCAGGAGCAGTCATCCTGCTTTATATCTGAATTTTTCTCCGTTCATTACTATCTTGCTAAGTTACCCACCTGTTATTTTTCTGTCTTTTTTCCTTGCCAAAGAAACAATATCCAGGAGAAGAAAATGGAATAGTTTCAGTTTGGTTGGTAGAGCTAGAAAGCTGTATATCTCTACACAGCTGCCAAGAACTTCTAAATGTCTTGTTACATTGGCCTTACCTGATAGCATATTTTTTAGGACACACTGTTCAACTATTCTTATACTGTAGCAAATGCAACTTAGGCTGTGGTCCTGTATGCACTTATATAAAACTGGGGTGGGCAAAGCTACTTTAAATCTCTTCATCTCTCCCCTGGTTCCTTTTTTTTCAGGGACTTGTCAGTTCATAACTGAAATAGTTTGGAGGTCACCTGACACTATTTAACATCAACAATAAATAAGTCATAACTTTTTTTTTCCAGAACTGGAAATAGATGCGTAGGCACATCCAGTTTCTGTTTCTTTCCTTTTTCTTTTGATGCTTGTGATAGTCTGTGTGCTCCCTGGAGGGTGCTGAGGCAAAAAAGTGGTCCTTTCATCAGCGAGAGTTGCCCACCTTAATGGAAAACAATGAAGAATCCTGCAGTAACTTTTAAGAGGATAACACATTGGTTTTAGTATGAGTTTTACGTGGTTTATAGGCTGCTTCCTGAGATGTAGTTTTGTATTAGACTTCTGGTTTGTTTGCACATTGCACAGAATGGGATTGAGAACAATACAGAATTGAATGTGGAAAGTGACAGTTATTTAGTGAACACTGGCAAAAGCTTCTTCCTGCAGTAAACATAAAGTTGAAATGGTGTGATATTTATTCATTGAAATCACATAGGATTTCATTCATCAGTAAAGCAGGATCTATTTTGTGTCCAGTGGTAGCATAAAGAAAACATAGCTGGCTCAGTGATCGGTGATATAATCTATAACTGGAAAAAGGTCCTGTGTCAAGATGTCGGCACCATATAGCAGACAACTTCATGTGTGGAAATAGTTTCTGCCCTTAAGTTTGTGTATTTATAGTGAGTATGACACAATAAGAATGTTCACATTATATAAAATACTAGTAAATGGATGTGTCATACATCCTTTTAAGTGAGAATAAGAACTAGACAACAAACGCATTTGATAGCCAGAGGCCAGCAAAAGAAAAGGCTGTAAATGTATTTTCACTCATAGCAATTAACTCCTAGCACTGAAAATACCAAGAGAAATCCTCTATAAAGTTTTTGATGCTTTATAACACACTGCCTTTTCAAATTAACTTCATTTATTTGTATTTTGGTTTTAATTTTTTAAACATATGCATGCTAAAACTAAACTAAGCTTCCTCAACCAAGTGCCCCCTACATATTTTGGACTTCAGCTTCCCCACAGCTAGCATGGCCAGTGGTCAGGAATGCTTGGAGGTGTTGTCTAAAACATCTGGAAGACATCTGGCTGGGGAAGGGTGAGATTTTAATTTGGGATTTTAATTTAGATGCCTGTAAAATAGACTTATGCAAACATTCATCTGCCTGCAAGTATAGGTAGAATGGGAAAGTGCGTGTGTGTAAACCCCATCTCCAGTATACCCATGCATCTGCTTGTGCATGAAGGTCTTTGAAGGTTACTGTAATCACATCTGGCTGAATTCACTTACAGAGACCTCAGTATCAGAAACCCTGATAAGGGAAGGTTGCCAATTGTGGGGATTCTGTATGATGTCCAGTTGAATTTACAAGCAGAACCCATTGCAGACTTTTGTGCTGAATGTAAGAGGCAGCCAGATGCACTGGGATGTAAGGAAGAGGCTTAATGTGAGTTTTCCATACTGTCTTCTCTTTGCTGTGCTCACATTTAGGTGAAAACCTGTCAATAAAATGAAATGGATACAATACAAATAAAATATATGATACAATACAAGCAGTCACTCTCATCCTTTACTTCTCTCCATTGCTGATTTTCAAATAATTTGTCGTAAACGTCAGTAGCCAAAAGTGAAGAACTAGCTATAGCTTTATTAGTAATATGGTGTATAAAATGTTCAGCTGTCTGTTGTGCCTCACTTGTTATGTACCTATTGATGAGCTACAAATATAGTATGTTAGCTAATGGGATTAGGCCATAATGTTTCTTTGACATTAAGGCTGAAATTAAGGTAGAAGAAAAGTGCCCAATTTTGCAACGGCTGATTATCTTCCATTAATGAACAAGAAAGTTGGACTAGTCAGATTCTCATTGTCCTTAGTGTATTATTCACCTTTAAATGCTAAATGTTAAAGCTGCTCTCTGTTGTTGGGAAATGATGAACCACTGTTTTCTTCTTTGATTATACAGTACTACTTTCTGAGATGTGTGTGTGTGTTTTGCAAGTTTATAACCCTTAATCCACCCTTTTTTGACATAGTTACACTGTGTTTAAAAATAAATTTATTTTAGGCAAAACTAATTCCAGCAAGGTAGTGGTGCTGGCCTGTGTGGTAGCAAAAACAACAAAAAAACTTGTGCCACCTAGGTAACTAATATCAGCCTGGAATGCATTTGTGGTATTGCCATAAATCCTGAATGAAGAGTTTAATGTTACCTTCTGTGTTCTGAACAATCCTATTATTTTTTCCTACAAAATGTTTTTCAATGTTTATTTTTAAAACCTCTCATTCAACTTCTTTTTTTCTTTTTAAAACAGCTTTTGGCCACCTTTCCCCATTTATTCCATTTCACAATCGACACTTTCCAAGTCGGTGCACTTTAAAAACCTCTCCCTGTAGTTCTTTGTTTAAAAATGGCTCTTGGCCATCCTTATTCTATTTCACTGTGCATATATCTTTACTCTCCACGTCACCTTGCCTCCTTGTGTGGCAGGTGTAAATGACACAGGCCCACCCTGAGAGCAGAAACGAAATAGCATCTTTGGCCAGACATATTTAAAACAACTCATCAATCATTTGACTTGAAAAGGAGATGTGGAGTCAAATTTCTGTGATCGCTTCCTTTTTATTTTAAATTGTGCAGACCTCTGCAGTGTTGTCTCTGACCTAGGCAGTGTTAAATGGCTAATGCACCCGCACATGCACATCATGGACACATCAGGGTAGAAAGAATTGTGCTGCTTGAACTCGGAGTCATTTCTGACCCCAATAACAATCCCATTGTATTGACAGGTAGGGTGTGATGTGTACTTTTTTGTAGTGTGTGGAGTTTCCTCACTGCACTGAGAATTCCAGTATCCCTTCTGTGGAAATTATTTCAGTTTCCCCTGGATAGGGGCCCATGTTTTGACATCATGATTAATCAAAAATAGCAGTATTTGCCCCAGTATGCTACATTGCCTCAGACAACAAAATACATCAATGGTAAAGAATCAAGAGATGCCTTGGGTTTTGGTTTTTGCTTGTTTTTGTTTTTGTCCCAGCTCTTTTTTGTTTGAAACAAAAAACTGCATAACTTTTCTGGTTTCGGTATCCCATCCGTGGGCGTGAGGGATTAATACACCAATTGACAGCCATTTTGATGACACATCAAGGATGTAAATTGCCGTTTTTGTTGACCTCTACTTATTTTACACTTATATGTATCCTATGTTTCAGTATAGATAATTGCTAAGCAGCACTTTAATGCCACAGCAATGATAATAACACATTCCCACATTCAAAGCAGTGACTGCATAAACTATTCCCAATCATTTCAAAACAATGCAGAATTTAAAGAGCACGTTGGGCTGGGGAGATATAGGTGTCATTAAACTGGATCATCTGAAACTTAAACAGCTAGGAAGACTT